GCTTCAGATCTGCTGATGTTTTCTTGTCATTAGTCTCTACAGAGCTGAAGGTGATGCAGCAGTATGCAGGTACAGTGTGCTGTCTGCACTACACTAGTTTACATTCATACACTCACAGCTTCATTACTGCTCTACAATCTAATTAAACACAGGATTACATATTAAAAACAGCCTCACAGAATATCTCTATTGTGAAGTTGAGAACTATATTCTCTGTTTTCTCAGTGGATGTGACTCTGGATCCTGATACAGCTCATCCTGAACTCATTTTGTCTGATGATGGAAAACAAGTGAGATGTGGAGACATTAGACAGAAACTCCCAGACAAACCAGAGAGATTTGATCCAGGACACTGTGTCTTGGGAAAGGAGGTATTCTCGTCAGGGAGATTTTATTTTGAGGTGCAGGTGAAGGGAAAGACTGATTGGGATTTAGGAGTGGCCAGAGAATCCATTAACAGGAAGGGAGAGATCACAGCAAGACCCAGTGATGGATACTGGACTGTGGCTCTGAGGAATGGAAATGAATATAAAGCCTGTGATGATCCTTCTGTCTCTCTGTCTCTGAGAGTGAAGCCGCAGCGGGTCGGTGTGTTTGTGGATTATGAGGAGGGTCTGGTCTGCTTTTATGATGTGGAGTCCAGCTCTCATATCTACTCTTTCACTGCTCAGTCTTTCACTGAAAAACTCTATCCATTATTTTGCCCATCCTTAAACTATGGAGGTAAAAACTCCAACCCACTGATCATCACACCTGTCAATTAGAATAAATAAATGTACACTCCTAATATGAAATACAAGATTAAAATAATGACTTTTCTAATTGAAAATCTAAAAACATTACGTGCTGCTATTTATCATTTGTTTTTCAATTCTTCAAGTCTATGTGCTATACATTGTCAATATAAATATATATTGCTTGTTCAATAAATGATTTTGGTTCAACTTTTCATAAATGTTCTTGCCATTTTTTTCTTCCATCTCCACCTGACAAAGTGACATTACCTGTAAAATCTCAACAAAAAACAAAACTATAGTAACATTAATGGGCACCTATTATGCAAAATCCACTTTTACGTGGTGTTTGGACATAAATGTGAGTTGGCAGTGTGTGAACACAACCACCCTACAATGAAATAATCCACCCATTCTTATTTTTAATCCCTATTAAATCAAATCAGTCTCATTAGATCTGCCGTTTTGATTTTCAAATCAATGTGACGTCACATTGTTTAAGCCCCGCCCACGGCCGCTGACTGACAGTCCTGCATTATACCGTATTAATCTTCTGTAAAGCCTTCTACACACTGCACGATTTTAGCAATCCTATAAGATCATTACAAATCACACTGTGCGAGATGGATCTAATAAAATTGTGCAAGACATGCATGCAGACTGTGCGATGTTTACACAGCGTGACTCGTAGGCTATGACCCAAGTTACTATTGAAGAATAAAACGTCATTAGCATGCGCTAGTGGTAAACAAAAAGAGCATGACGAAGCACAGTTTGGCAGTTGTACTTTTTGCATTTGCTGAAAAAAAGAGGAAGCTGTAAAAAAGGAAGTTAAAAGAGTTTAAGGTAAGCGGTTTTAAGTTTTAGCTCCATTTCATGTTGCATGTTTATTGGCTGGTCATGCTGAGGGGAGTGCAAGCCAGAACCATGGCGAGCCACTAAGTACCAACTACACCATATCGCTATGGGAATTGCCCCTGTCCTGGACTTAGACGGCTGTCAGTGACATTACTCCCTACGGCCAGAAGCCTAGGCTGCCAAGGGACATTACTAGAGCCTCACAGTGTGCAGGTCCCACTGGGACAAGATTGGTAGTAGAACCCAGGCTACCAATAGTCTACCACGGGAGTCAGTCTCTCGAGATTGACCTCTGGTGTAATGAGGGCGGCTGGCTCGGTGCCCAAAACTGCGGGATGGCAGGGGCCACCGTACCAGCTGTGCCAAAAAAGCCTCCTCGGAGGCGGCGCCAGGGCCTAGAATCATGAAGGATTTCTTCCAGGGAATACGACCAAGAGCCTACTTATTGGATCAATTACTAGTCTTGGCCTGTCACTCAGGGCTACCTCACTTTGCAGAAGGACCTGTCTCAACAGGCCTCTAGCGGAAACACCCTGTCAGAGCAGGTATCCGAGGCGAAGCTGTGTCTTACCATATAGGATTTTAGAGAAGTGGGCAAAGTAGAACGTGCGCACTTACCACTTTCGTGGAATTTTGGAATTTTAGG